AACTTTTGACCGCCGCGACTAATTTTTTGAGCCCCGCGGCGAACAATTTTTTGACCACCGCGACTCATTTTTTGACCCTGTAGCGACTAATTTTTTGACTAATTTTTCGACCACTGCGACTTGTTTTTCAACCAGGCCGCGGCTAATTTTTTGAACGCCGCAACTAACTTTTTGAGCCTCGCGAATAATTTTTTGACCGTGCTGCACCGAAATTTTTGACCACCGCGACTAATTTTTTTACCGCCGCAGATGATTTTTTGGCCATTACGCGACTAAACTTTCAACCGTCGCAACTATTTTTGAGACCCGCGACTATTTTATGGACTGTCGCGACTCATTTTTCAACCATGCCGCGATTGAATTTTGACCGTCGCCATATATTTTCTACCATGCCGCGGCTAATTTTTTAACCGCCGCCACTAATTTTGAAGCCCCGCGACTATTTTTTTGACCACCGAGAACTATTTTTCGACCATGCCGCGACTAAATTTTTGACCACCGCGACTAATTTTTCACCGCCGCAGATTATTTTTCGACCATTACGCGACTAAACTTTCAATCGCCGCGACTAGTTTTGAGACCCGCGACTATTTTTTTGGACTGCCGCGACTTATTTTTTGACCATGCCGCCACCATTGTTTTGATCGTCGCGACTTATTTTTTGACCTCGCCGCAACATATTTTTCAACCTCCGCGACTAATTTTTCGGCCGCCTCGACTATTTTTTGAGCCCATGACTAACTTTTTGACCACCGCGATTCATTTTTCGACCATGCCGTGACTAAATTACTGACCGCTACGACTATTTTTTTAACCATTACGCGATTAAACTTTCAACCACCGCAACTATTTTTGAGACCCGCGACTATTTTTTGGACTGCTGCGACTCAATTTTCAACCATGCCGCGACTAAATTTTGACCGTCGCCACATATTTTTCTACCATGCCGCGACTAATTTCTTAACCGCCGCGACTAATTTTGAAGCCCCGCGACTAATTTTTTGACCACCGAGAATTATTTTTCGACCATGCCCGACTAAATTTTTGACCACCGCGATTAATTTTTTGAGCCCTGCGACTAATTTTTTGACCGCCGAGACCTATTTTCCGACCATGCCTTGACTAAATTTTCGAGCGACGCTTTTTTTTTGAACCCCGCGATGACTACTTTTTTGACCATACCGCGACTAATTTTTTGACCCCCGCAGCTAATTTTTTGATCACTGCGACTTAGTTTTCGACCATGCTGCGACTAAATTTTTGACCACTTTGACTGATTTTTTGACCGGCGCGACTTTTTTTTCGACCATGCCGCGACTAAACTTTTTATCGTCGAGACATTTTCTTTACCATGCCGCGACTAAACTTTTGACCGCCGCGACTAATTTTTGAGCCCCGCTGCGACTAATTTTTGAGCCCCTCGGCGACTATTTTATTGACCACCGCGACCCGTTTTTGACCCTGTAGCGACTAAATTTTTGACTAATTTTTCGATCACTGCGACTTGTTTTTCGACCACTGCGACTTGTTTTTCGACCAGGCCGCGACTATTTTTTTGAACACCGCGACTAATTTTTTACCGCCCCAGATTATTTTTCGACCATTACGTGACTAAAATTTCAATCGCCGCGACTATTTTTGAGACCCGCGACTATTTTTTTGGACTGCCGTGACTTATTTTTTGACCATGCCGCCACCAATGTTTTGATCGTCGCGACTAATTTTTCAGCCGCCTCGACTATTTTTTTGATCCCCATGACTAACTTTTTGACCATCGCGACTTATTTTTCGACCATGCCGCGACTAAATTACTGACCCCCACGACCATTTTTTTGACCGCGGCGACTTTTTTTGAGCGCCGCGAATAATTTTTCGACCCCTGCGATTTTTTTTTTGACCGCTGCGACTTACTTTTTGACCATTCCGCGACTAATTTTTTAACCGCTGTGACTAATTTCTCGAACGCCGCGACATGTTTTTTGAGCCCCGAGACTAATTTTTCTACCGCCGCGGCTTGTTTTTTGACCATGTCGCGACTAAATTTTTGACCGCCGAGACTAATTTTTTGAGCCCCGCGACTAATTAATTTTTTGATCGCTGCGACTAATTCTTTGACCGCAGCAACTCAACTTTCGACCACGCCGCGACTAAATTTTTGACCGCCGCGACAAAATTTTTTGACCGGCGTGACATAGCTTGCGGCCATGCCGTGACAAAGACTTTGATCCCCCTGACTAATTTTTTAAACGCCGCGACTTATTTTTTGACCGGCGCGACCTATTCTTTGGGGGCGCGACTAATTTTTGAGCGCCGCGACTAATTTCTCGACCGCCGCGATTTTTTTTTTGACCGCCGCAACTTATTTTTTCACCATGCCGTAACTATTATTTAAACCGCCGCGACTATTTTTTGAGCTCCGATACTAATTTTTTGACCACCACGACTTATTTTTCGACCAAGCCGCGACTAAGTTTTTGACCGCCACGACTAATTTTTTGAGCCCCGCGAATAATTTTTTAACCGCGGATAATTTTGAGCACCGCGGATAATTTTTTAACCGCCGTGACTAATTTTTCAAACGCTGCGACTAATTTTTCAAGCGCCGCAATTAATTTTTTGACCACTGCGACTTATTTTTCGACCATGCCGCGACTAAGTTTTTGACCGCCACGACTAATTTTTTCAGCCCTGCGGATAATTTTTTAACCGCGGATAATTTTGAGCCCCGCGGATAATTTTTTAACCACCGTTGACTAATTTTTCAAACGCTGCGACTAATTTTTCGACCCCTGCGACTTATTTTTTCACCATGCCGTGACTAATATTTCAACCGCCGCGACTATTTTTTGAGCCCGCTACTAATTTTTTGACCACCGCGACTTATTTTTCGACCATGCCGCGACTAAGTTTTTGACCGCCACGACTAATTTTTTGAGCACCGCGACTAATTTCTTAACCGCCGTGACCAGTTTTTCAAACGCTGGGATTAAGTTTTTAAGCGCCGCGACAAATTTTTTGACCCCTGCGACTTATTTTTCGACCATGTCACGACTAAGTTTTTGACCGCCACGACTAATTTTTTGAGCACCGCGACTAATTTCTTAACCGCCGTGACCAGTTTTTCAAACGCTGGGATTAAGTTTTTAAGCGCCGCGACAAATTTTTTGACCCCTGCGACTTATTTTTCGACCATGCTGCGACTAATTTTTTGACCGCGGCGACTAACTTTTTGATCAATGCGACTTAAATTTCGACCAAGCCGAGACTAATTTTTCAACCGCCGCGACTAATTTTGACCCCGCGACTATTTTTTCTGATTGCCGCGACCTATTTTTTGAGCCCTGCTACTAACTTTTAGACCATGCCGCGACCAAATTTTTGACCACCGCAACTGATTTTTTGACCGACGCGAATTATTTTTCGACCATGCCGCAAAAAAACTTTTGACCGGTGCGACTATTTTTTTGAGCCCCGTGACTAGTTTTTTTGGCCGTGCCGCGACTAAGTTTTTGACCGCCACGACTAATTTTTTGAGCCCCGCGACTAATTTTTTAATCACCGTGACCAATTTTTCAAACGCTGCGATTAAGTTTTTAACCGCCGTGACTAACTTTTCAAATTCTGCGACTTATTTTTTAAGCGCCGCGACTAGTTTTTTGACCCCTGCGACTTATTTTTTTACCATTCCGTGACTCAATTGTTGAGCGCCGAGACTACTTTTTTGAGCCCCGCGAATAATTTTCGACCATGCCGCGACTAAGTTTTTGACCACCGCTACTAGTTTTTTGACCGCCGCGACTAATTTTTCGACCGCCGCGACTTATTTTTCGACCATACCGCGACTAACTTTTTGACCACTACGACTATTTTTTTGAGGGCCCCGACAAAATTTTGAGCGCCGCGACAATTTTTCGACCAACGAGACTAAAGTTTTGACCGCCGCGACTTTTGTTTTGAGGGCCGCGACTAAATTTTGAGTACCGCGACTAATTTTTTGACCGCCTCGATTAAATTTTGACCGCCGCGACTTATTTTTTGACTGTCGTGAGTAATTTTTCAACCGCCGCGACTATACTTTGACCACCGCGGCAAATTTTTCCACTTACTTTCCGAACATGCCGCAAGTAATTTTTTGATCATGTGACTATTTTTTTGAGCCCCGCGACTAATTTTGCGACCATGCCGCGACAAAAAAATAGACCGCTGCGACTAAAAAATTGATCACCGCGACTTAATTTTCGACCATGCCGCGACTAACTTTTCAACCGCCGCAACTAATTTTTGAGCCCTGCGACTATTTTTTGACAAACGCGACCTACTTTTTGACCACCGCGACTAAATTTTTGACCGCCGCGACATATTTTTCGATTGCCGCCACTAATTTTTTGACCACCGCGACTTTTTTTTTCGACCATACTGCGACTAAATTTTTGACCGCCTTGACTAATTTTTTGATCGCCGCGACCTTTTTTTTACTATGCCGCGGCGACTAAGTTTTTGACCGCGGCGACAAATTTTTTGAGCCCCGAAACTAATTTTTGACTAAATTTTTGACCACCGCGACTAATTGTTCGTCCGCCGTGACTAGATTTTTGATCGCCGCGACTAATTTATGTGCCCCGCGACTAATTTTGTGACCGCCTCGACTTATTTTTTGACCATGTCGCGACTTATTTTTTGACCGCCTCGACTAATTTTTTTTGAGCCCCGCGACTAATTTTTTGACCACCACAAAAAATTAGTCGCGGACCTTGACCCGGGTATTACAAATTGTTTCAAGGAAACATGAACGCCATCTGATGTAATGGGGAAGCGTCTAATTAATTGACGAAGTTATCAATTGTCAAACATCAGATATGCAAATAACTACGCTTTTTTGTCTAGATCTCAAAGCAAAAGAAAAAGTGGTACCTACGGACAAAGTCGTTCATTTTATCAGTATCCAAAAATTTCTCCAGTTTTAGAAGTAAATTTTTCAATAAGCAAACTTTATATATTACCTCATTAAGTTTCCCTTGTCTTCTTCTTTTTGGTGCTTCATTTTGGGCTGAAAAGAGTGAACAAATTGTGGGTTCCGAAACACCTTCAGTCTGCCGAAGTTGAGTTTCTGGTCTCGCCTGGCCGAATCAAACCTGCCAGAAAAAACATATATTTGCTGAAAACCGGTAATTGAAACTGCCAAGCAAAATCCATCCAGAATATATTCAGACAGAATAGATGTCATCAAGTTCGGATTTAGGGGGAGTAGGAGGGTGGGGGACGAGCGGACGCCTCGACCCTCAGAAATTCGACCCACTTACTTTGATATTATTTCGCAACATCCATTTTCGGCGACCAACCATGAAATTTTTCTAAAGGCGCCTTTGGCGCCAATATATACTAATTTTGAAAGGAAGCGCGTATCACAAAAAAAAACAAGTTTTTTTGGTCTAAAAATTTCCGCAAAGTGCTCAAAAATTTGCCTGATCTGCAGAAAATGTTGTCAAAATAGGTCATAATAGTGTTCTGTAAGCATTATAATTCCAAAAATTTTTTTTTTAAAGTTGACCCAATTTTTTGGAATTAGTTTGACCGCCCCCCCTTAAAAATCCTAGATCCGCCCCTGATGGCATAACAACAGATTTCCAAGTAAATATTAACAATTAAACTGTGATATGATAAAAACTGTTTTGTCGAATTTAAGAATTGTTAATCTTTTTTCAATTGTATTCTGATCTTGGCAATATTGAACTTTGATGCAGTTTATAAGGTTTTCATAGTAGTGCTACAATTTATTTTTCAAGACCTCATAATTAAAATCTGGTCAAACAATATCGAAAAAAAAGAAAAGTTGTTGTGAAATAATTGTTCTTAACAATATTTAAAATATCTGGGTTTTTCAACTGTTTTTGATCGGATGTTTTTTTCGATCAACTTCAAAATAAAAATTTGCACATATTGTCAAAACTGAGTCACATATTATGATGATAAAACCCACCTGGATGAGTTTGATGGAATTTCCAAGTGTTCACTGTTGAAAGTCACCCGCGTGTCCTCCCTGGACTGGAGAAAAGAGACTGACTTGCTCCTGGATCTCAGATTGTCCAGTGAGTCCTGGTAACTGCTCCTGGGATGGCCAAACAACTCACTGGAAAAGCAAAAATAAAAAGTTTTTTTTTCTGCTAGGTTAAATACATCATCTATCTAGATGTGTGATGGGTTTTTTTTCCTTAGGATGCCAGCTGTAGAAGCTTGACTCATTATTGCTGAAAATGCTCTGGTTCCAATTATATATTGCAGGCAAAATTCAATAATCTCCTAATGTTGGTTTTCAAAAACGATTTGTTTGAGAATATCAACAAACTTATCAGTATAGTAAAAATAGAAAATGTTTTACAGGCGAATGCTTGAAATCTGTCAAAAGCACGCACCAAAATTGATGTTTTTTTATCGTAATTTCTTCAGATAGTCTCAAAAACGTTTTTTGTCAGTTTTTGTTAACTGAGAATGATTTGAGCATAAAATTTTGGCTAAACAGGCTAAAAACCTTTTCGAATGTTCTCTTGTTGGATGTTCTCAAATTCAAAAAGCATTTGCTCACCTGTATCTAGGTGGATTAATCATTCTCTTTTCCTTTATTTTTGCATCCATTTTCTCAATTCTCATTTTTTGAAATTCTTCCGTCATCTCTTCGATTGACTTCCCGTCAATTGCCACCCGCAAAGGTGACGCTCTTCCTGCTATTTCGAGGAACTCCGCAATTTCCAAGAACTCCCTCCTTCTCGCTTCCATATATGGAGTCACTCCTTCATTGTTTGTGGCGTCATCAACGTGGACTCCTAGCCGACGGTGCAATTGGAAGATCTTCTGAACAGCAGACAGGTCTTCGGAGATCACGGCCATGGAGAGTAAAGGGTAGCCTTCGGAGGAAACCTTTAGACGTGATCGATTACAATAGCAAAAAGCTACCAACAGCACTGATCGAATACGAGACCTCAAAACTAGTAATGCAACTGATAAAAATGGGCTTGCAGAGTTTAAAAACTTTTTACTCTCTCAACACTCATTGTTGACAACTAGACTTTTTATTGTGTTGTAGTAGGTTAAGTGATAGCCGGAGACCTTGAGCGCTTCACAAACATCCCCACCCCCCAACCAAAAAAAAAAGGTTTTTTTTTTTTAAATTGAGAATCATATACTTTTCCACTTTGCTGGCTTCTACTATTTGTAATCTATCGCGTGCCTTTCGTAAGTCGATGTCGTCCCTCGAGTGGTGGATGAGAGGCTGTATGAGGTCACTGTGTCCTGCCAGTGTGGCATGCATGAGTGAGTCCATTTCGTACCTGTCTGGAATGTCTGGATTGGCGCCATGTTCCAGAAGGAGTCTGGGAAGAGAACTGACATCAAAGATGTTCGGATCGACGAGACGCTATTATTAACCAGGATCAAAATCCAGAATCCTTGTTTATATTAGCTATACTTGAGAGACATAACTATTAACTTTTACCCTGAACTCGTACAACTCGAAAATTCTAAAAGGCTGTATAAACAATCGCTTGAAAAACTGTATTCCAAAAAACGCCCCCACACTCGCTTCTACGTAAACTGGTCATTAACTGACTTACTTGACTAAAGAGATTCGTTGTGTTCTGTCCTCTATCAAGCAAGCGTGTGTGAGGAGGCTGGTTTTGCTGTCATCTGTCACATTGGGGTTGAAGCCTGAGTCGAGGAGTCGCTTGAGGTACTGGAACCTTCCGTTGAAAATGGCGTCAAAAAGAACACGCTCTATGCCCATACTGTGGCCGTATGATTTAGACAGAGTCTCCTGGTAAACCATGTTTGATTTGGTTTTGTGTAAGTTTTTAAAAATATTTCAAGAGGAAATTAAAATACAACTGATGAAGAAAAATATGTTAATTATTTACGTTTTTTTTTCTTTATGAGCTTCTTTTGGATAATTAAAAGAATGAATTTACATTGAATGTGTTTCTTTTATGTGAAAGCATGTTTTGTAGACTCAACCACGTCGATGAAAAGAAAAAAATAATCCGATGCGATTGTTCAAAAACGCACCTGTTTTTATGAAGCAAGTTTATTTTGTTTATACATTCAAAAAGAACAAAATCTTTAGAGAGCAAACAATGGTATTAATTTTTTGATGCGGTTTGAGTGGAAAAGCTAAAACCCCGTTCCATAACTCGCTGTTTAAAACAAAATGTTCAGTTTCACATATCGCTGCAAGACAAAAAAATTTTGACTTGTTTTTCAATTTTAATATAAAAACACGCTTAGACTTCTAGGGAGCAAAAAGACCTTGAAGGAGCGGGTGGTGAAGTGACTGAAATCTCTGCTCAACCGTTATAAGGTTGGCTGTAGGAGGCGCAGAGTGATTAAGCCCGCTTCTGGTGGGCAAGTTAGCATATCCCAGACCACGAAGACGGTAATTCTGAGGACATAAAGCAGCGATTTTCGTAGAAAGATGTCCACCTTGCGTTTAGGGGCCGTCGGAGTAGATACCATGGAGGGTAAGTAGCTAACCATAGCCAAAACACCAAGAGGAGAAGAGGAAATCAGCGACAAGTAAAAAACGCTTTTTCTGTACAAGTGAAAGAGAAGCAGCTAGCAACAACCAGACTATGCAAAGTGTGGCAATCACAAGCCAAAATAACCAGTGGTGGCGGGTAAACCACCGAACAAATAGAGAAACTGATGCTTAACACACTTCATCATGCTCTGTCAGTTATGTGTAAAACTCGAGACAAAGAGTAGCTTGGATGTAAGCTTACCAGGAACGAGGGTACCAGAAAATGTATGCGGGAAGTAAACGTAGAAACTGGATTCAATTTAAAACAGGTATTTTTTCATCAAATTATATTCCTTGATAATAATCACTGTAACATATTTAGAACTAACCAATCATGATCCGTGACTAAAACTTATTATCATTTGTAAAGCTGAAACTATTTATAGTTTCAGTCAGAGAACAAATAATTTAACTTAGAAAGCAGTTGCTCTTCCTCTTCTCTATCTTCGCAAGAATACCAGTATATACTATATCTAATGACACTTCAAAATATCAGAGTAAAGTTAGGATCGGCATTAGACTGAGAAGTTGAACAAATCTATCCGGCCGAAAATTAGATAGCGTAACGAACAGACGGTGTACCCTATCCGAAATTACTCTATGAGAAGGCCACCCCGAACCTTACTTATCTGGTGCGACCAAACGAATCTCTAGCAGACCTATACTAATTCAGATTCAGGAACCATAGATCGAGCAAATTGCAAAAACAAAACCAAGACAAACGGAAAATGGAATTAACTTACTTCCACGTCTTAATAAGTCTAATAAAGCCAAGCCGAGTCAATACCAAAGACAAAACCAGGTCACAAAACGGCAAACGCCAAATACCTGCATCGACTAGCGAGAAAAAGCAGAGGATGACGTTTAAACAAATCATCAAATGAACTTGGGGAGTAAACTTTCATACTTTTTTATAAGTTAACAATAAACTTTCACAATATTATATAAGCTGTCATAAATAGAGCCGAAAATTGATTTATAAGGCCGTATATTTCAATATGAATATTATCAAATATTATACGTGAGCAACCTCTCGACAAACAAAACCACATCTAGCTCAAAACTGTGAATCTGCACTAACTTGTAAATAGTTTTATTTTATAAATTAATAATTTAATAAAAAACACCAAATTAAAAAATTATAGTTACTATAAAATTTTAGTTCATATAAAAATGGACAATTTATTGTCTCTTGACGATCATCTCTGTTGTTTTTTTTCTTCGCTTACAACAAACAAAACTTTTTAACATCTGACATAGTTCCGCTACAAGATCTTCACGACCTTTCTTGGATCTTTAACCATTTTTTAACCATGAAACTAATTCTAAAAATGTTTACCAAGTATAATCTATGTTTACAAATTTTAAATCAAAATAAATTTAATCCGATTATCAAAGTTTTCCTTAGACCTATAATTTCTAAATTTTAAATCTTCTAATCTAAATTTATGTTCGTTAAATATCATTATTTTAAGTTTAGATCATCAAAGTTTTGTTTGGATCAATTCAAAACATCAAGCCGACCTCCTAATCTGAAACGTCTAACAACCTCAAATGTCGATTCACTCCCCAACCTTAACAAACGACCTAGGACTAACTGAAAATTTTGATCAAATAGGAACCGTTACAATTAGACTAAACAGAGAAGAACTTCGGTTAATCATCCTTCACTTGAACCACACCTCTTGAAGTGACCCAGGCCTAGAACAAATCTTGACAATAGCAGGCTTTAATTGTATCTAACGATCTAATTGTACTCTATTTATACCTGAAATTTGTGGATTGATTTACTATTTTCCAGCCCCAATCTTATGGCGATCCCCGTTTAGCCAAAGTTAAATATACTTACATATCACATTTGTCTGAGAGAACATCACATTCGTCTGAGAGCAGTAAGAAATCTTCTTTTGAAATGAAATAGCTCTTGCCCTTTCCATTTCTCCACAACAAAATGATCCAAGGATTAGAATACCCTCAGAAAAAAATTAAGAGATAACAGTTTAGGAAAAAAAGTTAATAACTGGATTTTTCAGCAAACATTATAACATTTATGCGATAAGATAAATTAGGAAAAAAACAAGCGTTGTTTTACACAATTATTAAGTTCGAGATACTAGATTCAACTATGTTATAACAACTGACAGACAAAAGAAAGGACATGTCAGATCTAAAGCAATCAAAAAAGAAAACAACTATCTTATACAAAAAAGCCGTTTTTCCAGAAAACCGCAACGCAATTTTTGAATCCGGTTCCACCCCAAAAACCTCCGAGATCTACTTAGCAAGGAAAATTACAATTCAACGATCAATGATTTTTATCTGAATTAGAAGCTACATTAGCATCCTCTATTAAGGATAAACAAAGAAAAAAAACGCAAATAACAAAAAACCAGTAAGATTGTTTAACTAGAATGAACCTTTAAGACATGCTGAAAGTTACACTAACCGTCTTACCGCATAAAAGATGGTCTAGAGCACCAATATTCTTAAAAGCGATTCAACCCATTCATTTGTCATTGATCCTACTAGTGATCCATCAAGAGGGCGAATACAATTTTGCCACAATTTAATCATAATTTTTTTTTCAAAAAAGAAACAGACAATGCCGCCACAGATATCACGTCATAGAGCGGTAAGAACTGAAATAGTTCTCAATATCCAAAAAATTCACTGACCCAGAAGTCTCACATTTAATAAAAACTGATTTACAAAATTATTAGCATGGTTTATAATAGAGTATTTCCAACATAATCTAGGATATATAGAATAATCTCGAAAACAATTCCACGCATACTTGGACAAAAACCAAATGTTTACCGTTATAGCAAACCGTATTTCTAGGTCGGCAATTTAAACAGTTTCAGTAGATAAAACTATGTAAGAACAACTTTGTTTAACAGATACTACTTTTTCAAATTACAACACAATGCTTCACGATATGGCAATAAATAGCACAATAATTTCATCATTCATGAATACACAAGAAAAATTAATAAGAACTACCACGTTGAATCATCAGGACATTCAAATAACTTTACATTTCACCAATGAAGAAAGTGTTCAATAACAGCCAGCAACAAAAAAAGCAAATTAAATCACTAATTCATATATTGATAACGACACCACATATTGAAAACAATACCGCGGTTTAACGTAGAAAATAGCAATCAACCGCTAATCCAACAGTTTTTCCTAATTTTTCTCAAATCGAATGTCAATTATAGGCTCTTTAAATAACCCAAAATCCACATATGGAAGAGTTTTTGCAAACCACAACTGCGATTTTTCAACTATGCCATAAAAAACTATATTGTTCAATCAATAGCAAACAACGCAAACACAATCCTAAGAGCACAATTATAATCGACAACTACCTAATAACTCAAGTCAACAATCTGTGCAGCTTCATGATCAAAGAAACAACCCCACAGTCGGCACTGAAATTTATCCATTTTTCAATCAGGTAAGAACTACAAGTATAACAAACAGTTCAATAGAATTTAAACACACTGCTCAGAAAATGAAGATTTTTTAAATAAAAAATCAGCTAAAGTAACAGAAACCCAATCAACAAAAACATCAATGAAAAACAAAAGATCAGTCAGATGAAATTTTTCAACCAGATATCTTTGAACCCTATAAAATTCCATCAAGACGTCAACCAAAACAACCAGAGCTTTCTTCGAAACCAAACATTACTCCACAAAAATCAAAATTTATAAACACAGAAAATAATTCAAAATCAAAGCTTCCAAATGGAAACAATGAGAAATGAATTTCCTTAACCATATTACTTACAAAAACAAAAAATTAGTCGAAATCAATTTACAAATTCTACTACACAAACACCCAAACAGCAAAATCATAGACAATGAGTCCATAATCAAGTAAAGCCCTAATGATTTTCACAGGAACAGATCCAAATGCTCAGTCGAAGACTATTTGAACGCCGTTACAGCCAACTTAATACTAAATATAGGACAAAAATAACACTAACTCTGCAAAACTGCCTCCGAAAACCTATAGGACAGATTCACCATACAACAAAAAATCTCTAAAAAGACACTCAAATAAAAAAAGTCTGAGTACAACTCAGAAAAGTTTCAGAGCCGCTCTAATTGCCACAACAGTCATACAGAAAAACTACTCAAGATCAAATTCGAATAAAAGCGTTTATTCTAATTGTAATAGAAATTGTTCTTTCTCAAACAACCGCAATAGGTTTTCTTTAAAACTGAAAGAAAATTGAAGTTTTTCAAATAATTGTATTAGAAAATACTCGAACAACAGACATAGAAAGTTCTATCATACTGACTCCATCAATAGAAATTAGAAAGATAGACCACGGGAAACTTTAAGTAACTACCGAATTAGAAGTAACAGTTATCAGAATAGGTCATCTAGAACTTAATCACAATCACCAGATAGAAACAGTTCACAGTAACCAAATTTGA